ACGGTTGTTTCTGTTGTCAACGCAAAATAATATTATGATCGTATCTGAAGCAAATAGCCTCATCCGGCTTAGAAATTCCACATTGACGATATTTGCTTCGGCTCCTTGTATACCACTACATGCAGGACGGTCCTGCCCGACCCGCATATTTGCCCTTTCATCAACGACCGTTTTTTGACCTTAAGAACAAACCAAATCACTTCCAGTTTGTTTTTTTACGAAAAAGGAGTTTTTTTCACTGTTCGCCTGTTGTTTTTCACATCCGACTGCTTGTTCTATAAGCATGAACTGAATACTGAACAGAGACTGTCTACTTGTTATGAAATTTACTTGAAAATTCATTTTACTTGATATTATAGTACCTTATGGGTACTAAATAAGACAATTTATTTATTCGGATGCAGTGATACCAACAACTGCTCTTTGCAGAATGCATGACAAAAACTTCTAATCCAGCTAAAAATGTTGTCCTGAATTTCACACTTCCAAATATTTTGTGGGGGTCGTCCATGAGACACGCCATCAAACGTCCTTCTGAGGTCAAAAAAGATGGCATCCACTGGACGACTGTGGTTTGCGGCTTCTGCTCATTTTTGATGCGAGCAAAGGCTGGTCCTAAGACATGGATGGCCACAATGCAATGCCTGTTGGACAGCACACAATAGGTTTACCTGCTCCAGATACATCATTAAACGTCTCTTAATAAGTCGTACCATGACCTTGCATAAAATGTAGGTTAAACTAATGGGACGGCAGTTTCTCGACTCCAGCCTGCACCCTCCTTTGTCGATCAGAGAGACGAAGGCAGTTTTCCATTCCGTGAGCATTCCACCTTCTTCCATGGACTTTGGAATATCATCAAAACCGGTTCGCACATTATGTCGACGAATTCCCAAAGGGCGAGTGGATGAATTCCATCTGGACCAGGCGATTTGGCAGGCATCAGTCGGAGTAGCTGTGTCCTTAACGATGTAGGCGAGGAATAAAGATTATCTTCTAGTGCGAATGGTGCAGTATTTTATTGCTGTTCTGGGCAAAGGTGAAGGGGAGAATTCGTTTCGAGAGTAAATACTGACCTAAAAAGTTATAGAGAACTAATGCTTCCGCTTGGTCACCCGTCTCCTTTACTCCGTTTTGGGACCTCAACGCCGGAATAGGATTGCGATTTCTTATGCCATTACGTATTGAACCGTACAGGATCTTAGGATGCTCCAAAGAGTTCTGCGGTATGTTTCGCTCATATTTCTTTCGAAGTCCATTTGGCCTCACATTAGCACACATCCCACTGTCACTTGTATTCATGCAAGTGTTTGATGCTTCGTGTTGGTCGAAGGCGCTTCCGCGTCTTATTTCTGAAATTAGAGGCGATTTGAAGTTCCCGGTTCATCCACGGCAGACGATTACTTGTTTTCTTTCTTCTGGATAGACGGTTTAGATCAGTGATTCCTTTAACCAGCAAACTGGACATTCTCCAGAATTCGTTAACCGTCCCCCGCAGTGCGGTTGTCCCCAGTAGTGCTGACACCTGCGTTCGCTTGGCGGAAAAATTAATCTTGTAAAATTAATCCAATCATATTTAAATTTTTGTATGGAGTTTTTTTTCACTCATCGTTAGTCATTTTTCTCAGCGGACTACTAAATCAGAAACAATGAATTGCATTTTGCGAAGATTCTGCCTACCTCGTCTAAAATTCGCATGTAAGTTTATTTTCACTTGCTTTGATGGGATCCCGACGGGTCTTTAATAAAAAATTATTATTTGTGTGAGTTGGGTTGGGCGAACATTAAAACCCATTGATCTTGTAGTTCCAACGCCCCCACTGCATCTCGGGTGAGCCCCAGGTCTAGAAAGTTTGGACGTTGCTCTTGCCTGACCCATATCCCGAGAGCTGCGGTCTGGAGGAATAGTTTATCCGATGTCCTTTCACCTAAGTAATGACAAAGTGTATTCAGTGAACCCAAAAAGTCCAAGCTTGCCAGTTCATATTAGGGGCATTAAAGTTTCCAACAATACTGACATCTTTGTTCAACCAGGTGTTGTTTGGTTCCATTATAAGAAGGCCATTGAGTTCGTCAATCTGGTTTAGGGGACAGTATGCAACTGCAGATACCAGAGCCGGGCGTTCCCAGTGGAGATATTTAAAAAAAGTACATTTATCCTGTCGTGGGATGATGCTCAGAGACCGCGGTTAGATTCCAGCTAAGGTAAACAAGGACCCTTCGTCGTCGACATTTCCTAAACGGTTGGTGGTCACTGACGAATATCCCATGCTCTTAAATAGCTTCAGAGGGCCATGTTCCTGCCACAGCGATGACATATAGTGCGCGTTCGTCGACCAAAGTCCTGACTTCCCTTTTTATTGAACAGGCTCTGTACATTTGAGTGCATCATCACAAGCGTCCATCTTCTCAGTAGGGACCAGCCCTGATTATAGAGGCGTTAGCCATAGGAACGATCGCCTGATCTGTATTATTTTTCCTTCCCTTATTTTAAACGATTTTCTTCCTCTGCCGTCCTCTTTTTCAGTTCCCTGCAGAGCTCCCTCATTTCCTGTCTTTTTGTCGGTCCTTAATCTGGTTGAAAAACACCTCCATGCTATGCTGAGACGGTCACGAGGAGGAAAAACAGGCGGGAACTTTGGCGCACTTTTACCTTCGCTTTCTTCTTTTCTCTACCAGGCAGCGGCAGTATCAGTGGTCGAAATCTGGCGCACCGACGCCCTTGTCCAACTGGCAATCCGTCCCCTGGTCAGAGGCCTTCTTCGTCTCAACATCCTCTACCCTGACTCCACCTTTCCCACACTTCTCTTCATATCCTTGATACTACCAGTGAATTTAGAGATCTCGATTTCTATAAGTGACTGACTGGGTGCTAGTATAATGGATGCCACGCAGACGCAAGGAAAACCGGCAACTAATGAATAGGTTATGACACCAGGTCAAAAGGGTTGTTGTAATCCATATTTCGGAAGCCACCCCATCCAAGACGCACTCGACCGGTCAAATATTACCGGAGAGTACAAAGACGTTATAGCGTTTCTGCATTTCCTAGACGGTAAGATTTGTGCACAGTAACATCTTGTAAGATGGCACCGAAATATGCTTGAAAGAGTTTGAGATCATGTTCGGCCTTTTTTACAATCGAAGAAGTGAAATCGGGAGCTCCATTTATAACTATCTTTCATTTTCCATCAGCAATTCTGTTTGGCAGTATGGTGCTCTGTTTTTGATGGAACTACGATGTCAGAAACAATCGTATTCTGGCGGCCTATGCGATTTGTTTCAGTACTAGCGCCACTTCGCGAAATTAATAGCAACCTTTTTTATGGATTTCGCCCGTTTATCTTACAGTGGCTTTTGTATCACCGGGATCAGACCCCATTCGAACGTCTACGGGGAAGAATGAGTTTCGCTTAGCGTTGGACCCCATTTTCCTGTGAAATATTCTCTCTTCTCTATCTACCTTCCCCTTCGAGTCTTCAAATTTGGCACGATTTTCAAAATCTCCATTTGTTGAAACACCCAACAAAAGTTCAGTGTCTAGTTATGTAACCCAGAAAGTTGCCGACACTGTCTGAACTGAGAGACAATGACAAAACACACGAACTAATTTGACCTTCCTTTCGAGCGCAAGAGAGATCCACTGCTCTACTAAGCTCTGCTGGCGCGAGGTATATTATCTAACAACTTCTTCTGCTTGAAAAAGTTATGTTCACAAACGCCATTCCCTTTTGGCGAATTCCATAAGGGTCAACAGATTCCTTGGTCTCTTGGCATGACATGAACTAATAACGCAGTATCCACCTTTGCAGTTACCTTGGTAAACTCTGATGCCATACGGCTGCTGGCGGTGGTTTAAACGCACCTGCTCCCACCATGCCGCTTATATGAGCCAGTTAGGGCCCCGCACGCGATGAAGATTTCTCATAATTTTCTATGACCGAGCGACGTTCTATTTATGAAATGGCTTTTCGACGGCCGCCAATGACACGGTGACCGAGTGGTCTGAGGTGCTAATCGCCTGCCCTAATGTTGCAAGTTCAAATCCCACTGATGACGTCAAACTGTCTTCCCGCGTAAACGGATCGCTAACGCCTGTGTTTTCTATATCCATGTGAATTCCAAAAGGCTGTGAGTAGCTGAAACATCTTCCTAAATGAACGGATAAAGTGGCAATAATATTAAGCAATCAGAGTTGTAAGTGGCATTAGACGACCCGAGGTCTGTTGTTACATCTCTTTCCACTGCTGGAAGTAGATTCGAAAGACACGTCGCAGGCAGGCATCTTGGAAGCGAGTCACTATTGGAGCTTGTAGTTCTTATTGAGATAACCTCCGGGGAGGTACAAAGTCCACAACACAGGCATATTTTGGAAGCCACAAAATTGTCACGTCCGAGTAGATATTTCCAAATGACAGAGAATATGTAATCAGGTCGTGAGTTATATCAAAAGGTGTCTTTCACATCAAGATAGAGACCGAAACTCCGTAAGCTTAAAACCACTTTCGAACGACGCGTGTGTTATGTGTGCTGCTTTCGGTTTCCCGAACCGAGATGCCCTCGTCGTTTTCCTCTACTGCAATTGCGCACATGATCCAAATCTTCAGGAGCACGAAGAAAGTCAGCAAAGAGGCGGATTTGATTTCCAAACTCAAGCTTAGAAAGATGAGTGGCAAGTCAACTCAGGAATGAGATGGGACATGTCTGCTACGCAACCATTAATAATGAAAAGGAAATGACAATAGTATTAAGCGACAGTTTTCAGGCATCATAGGAGCAAATACATAGCACGGATCGAGCAAGCAGTGAGGGAACTCCCGATTTATCAGCGAAATTCATTGAATTTTGGACAGTTGGAGTAATTAAGGAGAAAAAAGTAGATCACGGGAAATTATGGAAGCCCGCAACGGCAATAGTCAACACGAGTACGACCGAAGTTTGTAGTCCCCGTTATTACTCGGGGGATTGGAGATCTGTACTAGATGAGCGTTCATGAGAAGTCATTTGCTCGCCACAGGCTGAAGAATTTGCCCTCTGGGCACCCGACTGCAGTCAGCACCATTCCCCTTGAGATGGGATCAGATGAAGAGATGATAAACCACGAATGACATTATTATGGAAGATGAGTCAGGTAGATTCGGCACTCAGAGACTGAGGAAGTTGTTTTGAGTGCAGAAAACGAAGGACAATTTGTTGAAACATGCAATAATTTTCCGGGATTTTTACGTTTCTGGGAAAGTTGTTCCAGACAGCCATTACATTAACAAAAAAGAACTGGTTATATTTTGTTTTGCCTGCCTGGGACACAAACGAAAAGGCCTCACGGGGCTTATTACTTTGAGGTTGTCAAGCTGTTTTAGAGAAGCAAGCGGACCAAAGTCCAAGGTTTAGTAGCCTAAACAGTGAATAGTCTCTTTTTTAATCAGAAAACCCACAAATGATCAAGGCTGGCAGGTCCACAAAATACCTGACAAATTAACTTTCGAAGTTTCGAGGATAGAACTCTTTTGGTAAAAAGATGCTGGGCGGATTGTTGTTTCTTCCGGTCGCCACCGTCTAAGAGGCTAGATAAAAACTATTAGCATTCCAGGCCAGGTCTTACGTACACTTTATAGATACGGGTTCTAAAAAGTCTAGTCAAAAGATTCGGGAGGATTAGTCCGGTCGTTCTACATCCTTTTGAGACCACCGGAGACCAGTGATTTGAAGATGTGAGGCATTTTGAACATGGTATACCCAGGCCTTTAATAATTCCGAGCACATTTATGTCGTGGCTGTCAATACTTAGCTGAGATTGACGGTCGTCGTCAACAACCATACCTAAGCGTTTAAGCTAAAAAAGAAGAAAGTACCATGTTCATCCTCATTGGGAAGAGGCCTGAGGACTGATTTTCAAGAGCTCGAGCACGATGTTGCGATCTGCCGGTTTGAGTTGTTAGGAAACTTTCAGATCATACGCCTACCAAAAGGCCTACTATTTTGAAGTAAATATAAAACATCATTAAGAGAAAAATGAAAAAGGAGCAGATAAAGCGTACTGTCATGAACAATTTCCTCCCTCGCATACATCGGGTTTAGTCAGTTTAAGTCAGTTTATTAAGGGAATGAGGCTTTCGCCCTTGAGCACCCTATTCATGTCGATAAACAGAAATAAAGTCATCAATTACATCAACAAATGCGAAAAGTTAATAAGTTAGCGGTAAGTGTGAGCCAGGCGCAAACTGCCGCCGCTAAAACAATCATGATTGTATGTACAGTAGGTTCTCAACAAGTGAGCGTCTAGTCTGCACTTAATGGATTTAACACTTTCGGAAAGAGCAACGGCATCAGGGAGTCCATTCCATGCCCCGATGACCCTGTGTGAGAAGGCGTTCCGTCGGACGTCCGAATTAGCCCGCTTCCTTTTCAGTTTGAACGGATGACCACGCAGACGGTCAGTCCGGGCCAATTCAAAGAATTCATCAAAATCTAGGGCACACTCTCGGCTTCTGACAATCCTGTAGGTTTGAATGAGATCGCCGCGCAGTTGCCTGTAATTTAGAGGAAACAGATTTAGTTCAGTCAGCCTGGTTTCGTAAGGCAAATGATGAAGATTCTTGACCATCTTCGTAGCCATCGCCTGTACTCTTTCCAGTCTTTGATAATCTTTCTTTAACCACGTTCGCCAGGCCTGGACTGCATACTCTAAGTGAGACCGGACGAATGCCCCATAGGTTTTTCCGAACAGCTCCTTGTCGATCTGCACAAATCCTCGCCTCAGCGCAAATAACACCCTTATCGCACTTTTGGCTGCCCTTTGACACTGTGAAGATGGTTTCAGCGAGGAGGTCATTAGGACTCCCAGGTCCTTCTGTTCCACAACATTTGAAAGGGACTGACCACCAAGGACATATTGAAAGGAATCGTCCTCCTTACTGGTCTGTCTGGTGCGGAGTCTCAGGACTACACATTTGTCCACATTAAAATTGAGGAGCCAGCGAGCTGACCAACTGTTTAGGCGGTTGAGACTGTCTTGAAGCGCGTACCTGTCTGCATCAGATCTGATGGATCTCCACCGCTTAACATCGTCAGCAAACATGATGGCGCTGCATCCCAGGTCGTCGACGCAGTCGTTAATGTAAACCAGGAACAGCAACGGCCCTAAGACGGAGCCCTGGGGTACACCACTTAGAACGGGAGTAGGAGTTGACCTTGAGGCCTCAATGCACACGGTTTGCGATCTCCCGTTAAGAAAATCTGTTATCCATGTCAGCAGCCTTCCTCTTATCCCAATTTCAGAAAGTTTGTAGATTAGGCGTTGGTGTGGGACGCTGTCGAACGCCTTCTTAAAGTCTGTGTATATGACATCCATTCTACCATCCTCATCCAGTGCGCGAGTCCACTGCTCCGTCGAGAGCAATAAACTGGAAAGACACGAGCGGTTCTGTCTAAAGCCGTGCTGCAGGTCTGAGATTAAATGGCCCTGCTCCAGGAACTCCATAGTTGCTTTCTTAACTATGGCCTCCATTATTTTACAGCAGATGCAGGTTAGACTAACAGGCCGGTAATTGTTAGCATTAGTGCGAGCCCCGCCCTTGTATATCGGAAAGATATTTGCTGTCTTCCATTCCGATGGCAACCTCCCTAATTCGAATGACGAGCGGAAGATGTGCGCCAGTGGTTTGGAAAGTTCATTCGCCAGTTCCTTCAAGAATTTGGCCGGTATATTGTCCGGACCCGAGGACTTTGCTTCTTTGAGATTTTTCAGCTCCCTTTCCACGGCAGCTGCCGGGAAGAGTATGGAGTCAAGCACGGGACCAACAGTCTCAAGAGCATTGCCGGCACTGCTACAGCGAAACTCTGTTTCTCTAGTAAAAACGGAGGCAAAATACTGTCCTAAGTGTTCGGCTTTCTCGTTGTGCTCAATGATCTCTACACCATTATCATCCTTCAGCACCGCGACCGGGTCCTTATTTTTCAGTCTACTGTTCAGATAGTGAAATAAAATCTTAGGCTTCTGTTCAGCCTGTCGTATAATTTTGGATTCATACTCCTTCCGTGCCTGACGGATACATTTTTTGACGGCGTTTCGTTGACGACGAAATTCTTCGAAATGTGCTGGTGACGCAGTTTCCCTGAATATTTTCCATCTTTTGCTTTTCTTCCGTAGCTGCTTATTTAGGTCCCTAGTTAACCAAGCAGGTCGACTAGTTGTTTTTTGTACTTTAGGTGGACAACAGCGCCTAATCAGATCGAGTGAAATCGTTTTAAAAGATCTCCAGTCGTCCTCCGGATCTCCCCTGAATATTTGGTCCCAATTCACGGACAGCAATTCGTTCTTCATCATATTAAAATCTGCCTTCCATATATTAGGTTGGCCCTCTGTTCTCTTCTGGCGTTTAGAGAAGAGCGAGTAATCCCATAATAGCGTGGTATGGTCACTTTTCCCGAGAGGTGCATTGGAATACACTTCGTCGATATTAGAGAAGTCCTTAGTGAAAACTAGGTCTAGACAATTTGCTCTCTGGTTCTCTCGAAATCTTGTTGGTACCTTCACATGTTGCGCCAGAGGGAGATCGAGTGTGAGGTCCAGTAGCTTATTGCTGAAAGAGGCTGGTCCACCATTAACTGCCATAGTTTCCCACTCTATTGCAGGTGCGTTGAAATCCCCAGCAATAAGTACCTCTTGGTGGCTAGCTACGTCTTTGACTAAACCAAGGAGCAACTCATCAGCTGTACTCAGAAGATTTGGTGGTCTGTAAATCGCCAGAAATTCTAGATTTTGTGCATTGCTCTTCTTTATCTTTATCCAGACGGATTCATATTCAAGGGATAGGGTGTGGGCTCTTTCAACTGCTGAAATTCCTTCCCTTACATATATGACTACCCCTCCGCCCTGCCTATTTTGACGGTCTCTACGAAACAGCTGGTAACCCGGTATCGAAATCTCAGCATCCATGATTTCGGCATTAAGCCAAGTTTCCGTTATGGCGATGACGTCGGGGATTTGTTCCGGTACTCTCGCTTTGAGTTCGTCGATTTTCAAAACGAGACTTTGAGCATTGGTATACAAAAATCTCAATTTGGCACGAGCAACTCCGGCATACAGGCGTTTATCCATTTCTTGGGATTGAATGCAAAAGCCGGTCGGAGCTGATCGGGATGAACTGCTTTCCATCACTCCTAAGCTGTTAGAGTTATGGGCTTTCTCCAGAGGAATGGCATCTGGACGCGTATAATTTTTCCGTCCACTATTCGGAGATTTGTCTCGCCCAGACTCAACCGCCTGAGGACTTCCAATTTGAGCCCCCTCCATTTTTCTCGCTCCGCGGGTGAAAAGTCCCGCTGAAAAAAAACTGATGGATGGGCGTGTTTAAGCGCAGCTTTCCTGCTCAAAAGTAGCTGTGCTTGTTCGTCATTCTCAAAGACAATTTTTAACGGTCTCGGTCGGTCTGGATCTTGTTTTGAGTCTTTAATTTTGCCCATCCTGAAAGCCTTTAATACTGTGACTTTTTCGTCTCTTATTAAGATCGATTTGAGATATTCCTGGAATATTTCTATGTCATGTTGTATTCTGTCCTTTGAAGCGTCGGAAACAGACTCAGGCATGCCCTTTATAACGATGCATTTACTGCGATCAACTAGACGGCCTTGTGGTATAATCATACCTACAGAGTCTTCATCGCGTGCATCCCGGCTACAACCTTCCACCGATTTAGGAAGGTTTGATGCAGCAGGACTAACGCATGACTGCCTGTTTACTACGATCTTTTGATCATTTTTCGTTTTCAGCGGCGCGATTTTCGTGTGAGGCGTAGCCAACTCTTGTTCCCTCGTCTGACTCTCTGTGCCTTTTCGAGGTACCCTGAGATTTCTTTTTGCTCGCTGAGATCGCGTCTGACCGCGCTTTTTTCTCACAAGACACTGGGTGTCATTCCTATCAAGCTCTAGCGACCTACTATTTTCTTTCTCCTCCGTCGACACAGCCGAGGAAGCCGTGTTTGCGTAAGTTCGCTCGCTTTCATTCTCTTTGGATGAATAGCGAGGGAGATTCCTCAGCTTCTCCATCTCCACTTTAAGGCCCTTTATCTCCCTCTCCATTTCCGCAAATTTTTGAAGGAGTCCGAAACATGTCGTACAGGCTTCGTCTTCGTATTTGATATCCATACAACTTACTAGGCTCCTTGCTCGTTTAGCGGGAGGTGACTTAACAGCGATATATAAAGAGTTGCAGTCATTTGTACTACGAATAATGTTTACTCCTTTATTTATTTCAGTCCGTTCGCCGTGCGCCGATAGTGTAGTGGCGATCACGCTGCTCACCCAACGACGGGACCTGGGTTCGAATCCCACTTGGGGCAATTTTTTGCACATTGTTCTGATGGTGTTTTGTCGACTGCCATTATTAATTCGAAGGATATGCAAGGTATTCTAGGTACGGCACGAAGTATTTAAAGGTGTATGAGAAGCTTTTTAACCAAGCCAACAATATGAAGCAAATAGCAAACGACTCAGCCGCTCTTGGATCAGGAGAGTCCTGGGGTGCTGTTGGCAGAGAATTGATACGAAGGAGTATGGTCGTTCCAAAGGAAGTTCTGTCGGAGTTCCGTGTGGATCGTTAGAGGAATTGCTGATAAAGCTTCAATTTCCTAATCCAAATGGGCCCGCGATGCGTCCAGTAGGCAGAAATCCCAGAAAAGGCAAATCCCTCGGAGGTCAAAAATTCGAAACCGAATTCGAATGCCGGAAATCTTAAGGCACCGAGTGCCGGACGCAGATAAAAGGATATGCAATTCTGAAGTTATTTATATATTCCGAAATATAGAAGTCTCTAGAGAGGAAGGGAATGGTCGAAATAATCGAAAGTCCTGTTGAGGTCGAAATAGACGGTGCAGAGGGCGAAACCGATGTGCCTAAATTGGGAAGACGGATCCAGGGAAGAGAGCCAGTAGGTATCACAAGACCGGGTCTCCAAGAATCCATACCAGACCACATTCAGTAAACTACTGTCTGTTAAGTGATACACCAACTTATCTTTGATGACAGCCAGCATAATTTTCGAGGCTGCTGAAAGTATTTCCACTGGTAGAAAGACGCCAAGTTATGCATAAAAACCGTGCTTCAGGGAGGGAAGAATGTGTGACTCATTCCACGAACTGAAAAAATTCACTTTTGAGAGTGAGACTAGATATCTCGCACAACAAAAATGGAAAATTCTCCTTAACGTTATTCTTAAAAAGTGTTTGTCGGGACATCAGCTGCGCCTGAACAATAATTTTGCCGAAAACGTCAAATGGCTACGGTCAAGTCCTAAAGAGTAAAATCCATGACTCCAAGAACGGCACCTGTCCAAATCTGGGTGTTGGGAAGCGCAACAATCGAGTATTTAGTAAATTTTTAAGGCAGGAATGCAGTGGAACTATCCACAGTTCTCCTGGAATCTGTCAAGGAATTTCTGAAATCGTCTAAAAAATGGGAAGTTGCGTTCTTCTATGAAATATTCCCGTGCCCGCCGTGCGTTTAGAGACACCTAATGAGTAAATCTTAATGAACTTAACATCGCTGGCCAACCTCTTCGGTTGCAGACAAATACGGCGGGTCATATGCAGATTGAAATCTCTTTTAAAGATAAAAGCGACGAAAAGGTCGTCGTAGTATGCGTGGTAAAGATAAAGGAAAAAAATTCATCGTTGGAATTGGTTAGTTTCTTCTGGGGAAAAACGACAAAGAAGTGGATTCTAGACTTTACAAAGTTAAACGGTCCAAACATTCGAAGGGAGCTCGGGGAAAAATCGTCCCAATCGGAAGAACTAAGATGTGCCCTTAATTAATTTGAGCGGGTTTATCCGAATCGAGAAAGACCCATATTTTTGTACAAAGTGCCATCCGCCTAGATGTCCAGTGTAGAAACAAAAATGCAATGGCTAGAACACTCGATCGGGCCTTGAGCTGACGATGACAAAGGCCGGAATTTCCTATAAAAAACTTGATCAAGTTCACTTGACCATGAAGTGAAAAAATCGACAACCGATTCCATATACCGACATCCATGCTTTCGAACTTCCTAAAACCAAATGATGGAAACCAACAGACTTCTGCAAGATAGAATTCGCGCACAATTACCCGATATTCAAAATTCAGATCGGTTACAGCGCGAAAGACCTGTGGGAGCGAAGATCAAATCATCACCGGAGGTGAGTGCGCGGTAGACATCCAAAGTGCAGGAATGCTCATTTTAACAGCAGCTTCAAGCCGGCGACTATGCTCTCCTGAGGGAGAATGATGAAGGTTCAACTGCGGAAACGTATGCGCCTAAAACAGATCCAACATCCCCCACCACAGCCCACTTGATAGATATTTTAAATGTCAATGTGGACTGGGAGAGAGGGTTCAGATTTATCTACAGTAGGCTTATATAGACCACTCTCCATTCCCTGGGGAAAGTTTTCTTGGAATTTTCATAGTAACCCGAAAAAAGGCATAACGAAAACCAGGCTACTGATCACGAAGGAAGGTGTGTTATTCTGTGGCCTGTTCTGGAACTGAGCGTGAACGCAACGGAAAAGATTGCTCAGGCACAGTGTGGTGAATATTTTGATCTCCCCATACCACCTAGAAACTTAAAAGAATCTCAAGCTTCTCACGGAAATGATGACGGCATTCATAGAGCATAGAAAGTTTAAAACAGCCCAAGATCATGCAGAAGGTCTAGAAAGCGTCGAACGACCAGACTGCACAAACTCAAAGCGTGTGAGCACAATTCTGACCACATTATACAAAAACAGAAGAGAAAGAAAAGAAAGTCGATAGAACGAACTCCAATCTTGGCCGAGTTACGGTCTAAATACCAGAAAACTGAGCGGAGGTTGCAGTGTAATGTACCTTTTTATGGTACGTAGGGCTAAAGTCCACTGAGGCCGCTTGCTTGCAAATCAAATTGCGGAGCCGTCTGCGAGGTGACCTGTGGAAAACAACAAAGCACTATGGAAGAAATATTAATGCACCACGAGAACGACTAGCGAGCCCAAGTCTCAAAAATAAGAATCCAAACAAAAGGGATGCTGAATTTTTCAATCAACGGCAGAATAAGTAAAAAATGTTACTATCGACACAAGGATGATCAAAAATCTAGTGGATGTGGAGGCTGTCGGAGAGGTAACCAGTTTGTCCGGATTTATGAATACGATCGAACTAGAAACGAATGTTCCGTCAATGGAAAAATGCCTTGCAATCTCAGCAGGCACTCAGTTTAATCGTAGACATTTAGCATTGGCAAAGTGTACTGAATGGGGAAGGCGCAACCAATGTCTGGCCTAAGTTCTCGGTCAAACCCCTTATGACCATTCTAAGAACAGAAGCGTAAGCACAGATTCGACTCCAAAAAGTCATCTCTGTGCAGCATGTATGCCGAAGTTTTTCAAACCGGTCCGTGATACAAATGAAACAATGAAAATAAACAAGCTGATAACTTAACAGATAAGTTGGCCGCTGTTTGAAAGTTTTCCACATAACCGTTCATGGTCTCTTCAACAAATCTGACCAGTTTCAATCAATAGTCTCTGAGCAAGAGCATCATATATTTGCATCAAGGGAAAGTTCAGTATTTAAAAAAATTAACCACTGAAATTAGTCTTGGAGATTGTCGACTCTTCTGTTGAGAGAGATTTAAACACAAAGGTGAATAAGTTTGGTTCAAACTATTCAAAGAAATATTTACTGTAATACTACAAAATCATGGAAGTGTTCCCTGTTTGAGTAGGAATGAACGGTTGTTGACTTTTCCTGTACGTATTCCATCGTTCCTCTAGATCGGATTTAAATTCTGCCGTGGGATAGAATGTAATAATTTTATTTTAACGGCTCTTGGGAGCTGACAGTTCGATCGAATTTAAAAATGGATATTCAGGCAGAATAACTCATTTTGCCTTGTGACATTAACACCCGTCGAATAGAGTGAAAAATTCCCTCAACAAACGCTCAAAGACGTAATGTTAGTACAAAGTGCAGCAACTGTTACTGGACAAACATCTCACCAGAAACACTGGTCTTGGCTCAGGATTTTGAGAAGGACAGTGACATAAATGCATGGATCTGTTTTTTTCACGAGAGGAGGAGGACACGTTACTGATGTGAACTCATAACCATCAAATGCATTAGATGATTATATCGCATATACTCGCGCGTGGCCAAGACGTCAGACAGCCCAACATTTCACAGAAGACCTAGTTGGTTAAGAGTAGCGATACTGGAAAATTCCTTCCATTAACTTTTTGATTTAAAGATTATCTAAATGATGTCAGTTGTTCTATGAATATGATCAGGCTATGAAAATGGACGATTGCAACAATAGAAAACTGAGTTACGGAGTACCTTAACTTAATTTAAATGGCGGCCGATGGCAAAAATGTTACATACTCCAAGGAGTTTTACGGGCACATCCGCAACAAGGGGAAGAACTGAGACGACATTGCGTACTTCAAGAATAGCATCTGAAACGCTTTGTCCTGCAGGTTGAAGAAAGCAAAAGGTCCTCTCCTGATTCTTACGGTTGATGTTAAAAGCAGAAATTCTTAGAAAACAGCCAATAGTTTTGAATGGGGCAAGACACTGGGGTTATTGAACGTACCACCTTTGTCGTCGAAAGCACCAGACAGGCCAGAAATCATATTCAGGCAATCACGTTTCCTTGACCGGATGGGATTCTAGGGTTCATACTCAAGGAAATATCCACAGAGTTGATGATGTCTCTTTTACCCTTTTTCGAGATATCAGTGCAAAAGTATAACTTGCCTTAAGAGTGGAAATCGGTCAACGTAATTGCGGTATGGTTGCAAGAAACCCTAAATCGACAATTTCAACCTACCTTCCCCGCAAAACAATGAAGTTCTTATAAAGCATGCCACAGCGTAATTTTAGGATGTAAATAGCATGACAGTCGGACCGTTGGTTTCGACGATGTCCACTGTGTGCTACACAGCGGAATGAGAGCAGGGTCGATGACTTGCGGGTGAATTGCTTCATAATAATTGTAGACCTGCGCGGCATCTACCGCACTCCCTCCTTCTCCCAAGCTGAAGCCGGCTGGTTCGTCCGGAGCTGTTTCTGGGCGTGCTGCAACATCCTGTCCGGACCCCACGGAGTGGGAATGTATGAATGTCACACAACAGAAATTTCAACATAGGCGGCAGCGGGGCCGTGAATGTCCCTCAAATCTGCCGACTTCTCTAGAGGTATGAACTAGAGCTGTAGAAGTGGACATGGAAACTAATGTGGTATATGTCAATTTTTGCGAAGATTTCGACAGCATTCCACATAAACGTATTTTGCATAAGCTAAAAGACCTCGATATCAGATAAAATTTTAGGAAATAGATGATATCATCTATGGTTGATTGAGAAAATCGCGCCTGTCTCGGGGAGGATCCGTCGGACAGGACAAAAGTAGTAAGTGCGGTTCTTTGTGCCGCAAGTTTCTGGAATATATTCCTCATTCTCTATAGCGATGGCAGTGTTTACGAACTTGGCTACAGAAAGATCATGTTTGCCGATGGCGTCGAGCTCTGTCCGAGCGGTGGACCGGGTTCGAATCCCGCCTGGGGTCGACATTTTACACCGTGTTTTGAGGGCATTTCTCTGAATAACATTACCGAGTTTAGAAGTTTTAAACGGTTTTCTTAAAGGTATGAGACGAATTTTCAAGCAAATCAAAGATATGAGGTAAACGACTCAGCCTTTCATAGGTTTTGAGGATTGCTCAATGCTGTTGCAGAGAGGCGACTGGAGGAAGATAGGTTATCCCTCACAAGTCCTGGTGTAGGTTTCCAAGGATAGATCGGACGCAAAGACGAATCGGATTCGTAATACCCACGAGCCTTGAGGACGCCCAGTAGATAGAAATCCCGATAAAAGTGAAATCTCCCGAGGTCGAAAATTTCAAACCAAATTCGAAACACGCGCTTTCGATACTGTTCCACACCAACGTCTTCTTCACAAATTGAGCGCCATCGGCATCCAGGGAGATCTTCTGAACTGGATAAGGGCGTTTCTGGTTGGTCTGAAACAACGTGTCTCTATCGGAGATGATATGTCAGAATGGGTGAATGTGACCAGTGGTGTGCCTCAAGGCTCAGTTCTGGGACCATTGCTCTTCATCCTTTATGTTAATGACAGCCTGCAGGAATTAGACTGCGGCAAAATAATGTTTGCAGACGACGTTAAGCTCTGGAAAGTCATTAAGGGACCGAATGATCAGAGATCCCTTCAAGATAATCGGCACCGACTGCAAGCGTGGTCGCAGAAATGGCTTCTAGATTTCAATGTGGAGAAATGTGCCGTCCTTCATCTGCGTCCAACCAACTCTCATTCAAGTTAGAGCCTGAGGGCATATCACCTGAAAAATATAAGGCTCTCCGCAGAATCTTCACAGAAGCATCTCGGGGTTTGGATACAGAACAACCTGAAACCGACACTGAGGTGCCACAAGGCTGCAAAAAAACGCCATTGAAGTGCAGCATGCAATCAAAAGGGCTTTTGCAAACTTTGACCAAGATCTTTTTAGGAGAGTTTACGGCACTTTTGTTCGGCCCCACTTAGAATATGGCATACAAGCATGGCGGTCATGGCTAATAAAGGACCAAGCATGCCTCGAACGGGTACAACGGCGTGCAACAAAGCTGGTTAACGATGTAAAAAGCCAATCCTGCACAGACAGACTGAATTGCCTTAATTTATTCCCTCTGTGTTACAGGCAGCCAAGAGGTGACCTTATCCTCGTCTACAAGATAATACATGGTCTTGAGCATGGACATAAATTTGAGGACATGTTTCAGTGGCACCTTTCATCCAATCTTCGTGGCCACTCGATGAAGTTACGGACAACAATGTCCAGGCTGAATCTTCGTTCTGAATTTTTCACGCAGAGGGTAGTGAAGAAATGGAACGATCTCCCTCAGTCAGTCGTGGAGGCTAAGTCTCTGCAACTCTTCAAGAAACGCTTGGATGATTATTTGTGTCCCCTGTTTTCCCTTGACCGTCTGAATCTGAACTAATACCGCACAACCTCGCGAATATTTTCTCTGATACAATGCTACTCAAATGAACCAAGTACTTTATCAATAGCGAATATTTTTTAAAGTTGGTGTACAGTTATTTCTAACCAGCTGACATGTAATCAATAGGGTTTTCAAAGGCTTTGCCTATTATCCTTACCAAATAAACTGAAAAATAAATAAACCAAAGACCACATCAAATCCACTCATTGATTTGACCCAAGACAAAGTTGATTAAATTATTTGAAAGGTAGCCCAGACTCTGCTTGCTAACTTGCGAAAGATGAGGCTTTAAAAGACTTCACGCTTTGCTATAGAAATATACTTAAAAACACCGGATATCTCGAGAGGCCTATCGACTGTTCGAGTTATTTGACAAATGAACAACATGCGTTCGTGCCTCATGCATACACTACCGTCACCGATTGACTACTTACTGTCACGCAGATTTTCAAAGTAATTTATTTGCTTGTAAACTTCGGCATCTAATATATCCTTCGAGGATGACGCATTTCCTTTCTTCTGAAATCAAATTTCCGCTGTGTTTTGTATTTAAGAGCGTCTGAATTTCGTGTGCGAATTTACACGTAGACCGGGGTAAGCGCTAGCATGAAGTTAGACAAGACTTGACCTACAAGTCTACCATATATTTTTTATGGCACCATCGGTGTAGATTTCGTTGCGTATGTATTTTGCGAACGTCGCTGTTTCAGCATCATTAGCAAATGATCCAGAATTGACCGATGTTTGCCTCCTCACTTTTTCTGATTTCGTTAATTTTGCTTTCACTATCCGTCCCCTTTTCCACTTTTATCAAGTTCGCCTCTTTTTAGCTATTATTTTTCCGGCTGTTGGTTTCGGATACCTTTCTACAGTTAAAGTTTCAGCGTACTCATCGTATCTCCTTTAAATACTAACGTTTGGTCATCTGGTAGCCGCTCTGCCCTTCGCCGCCCTTACTAGGTTCCCGTTGAGCAGTCAAGTGTTTCGCTTGGAATTCATAACGATGCGGCTCTTTGCAGAATGGCAAGAAGGTACTCATAAATATTCGATTCCCGTACACAGTCTACACTTAATCTTCTGCCCGAATTCGCAATGCGCAGTAGAAATGCTATCCGTCCCTTCAGCTTGCCAAAATGAACACTAGTGCATTCACAGGGAGTAATTATGGGTCTTCTTTGTTTGTAGGAAAAACTTTCCCTCAAGTCATTGTGGCCTCCTCGGAGAGTTAAGATTTTCACCACCAGCGTACTTCGGGGAAGATGACACAGCTTCTCTATTCAGGTTGTTGCTCCTCCAGAGCACTTGTCCGTCCAATAACTGAAGCAGCGACCTTGAGTTTATTTAATCGCCTTTAAGTACGTCCTTTAACTGTTGCCGCGTAGTTTTTTTCGATGAATATCTGGAGATGGTACGGACGGGGAGTGCTTACAGTTGTAAATCCAGATGCCGCATGAGGATTATCTGCAAGCAGTTGGGGGCATTATATTGAACTGGTTTAGTCAAGCACTAATGTCTGAAATATATTCCAGAAGTTGTCTATATTTCACGACTATATGTAGTCGTGTAATATATTATTCACTGAAATGAGGAAGAAACTTCCACGTGCCTTTTCCTGATCCATAGTTGCATTTAAGACTGTCAGACAGCCTTCTTGCGAAACTTAAGTTTTGAAGACACATAACTTACTATGCAGTTGTATTTTATAACGGACAGCAATTACGATCGAAGCTTTCCCTGTTGACATCAGTCCCGCCAAGACGCTGCCACAAGCTTGTGACAATTGCCCGGGATAGTCGGGTCTGGGATAAAATAAACTTTCAGTTTTTAGTTTTTATAAGAGTATTAGCTTTTATTTGACATGTGACAGCATATATACCCTGCCAACACATGGCCCCGGGGGCCAGACGGGGCTAG